CAATTCTCCTGCCTCATCCTCCCAAGTAGCTGGGACAACAGGTGCCCACCACCATACCCAGCTAATTTTTGTATTTTTAGTAGAGATGGGGTTCTGCCATGTTGACCAGGCTGGTCTTGAACTCCTGACCTCAAATGATCCACCTGCCTCAACCTCCCAGAGTGCTGGGATTACAGGCCTGAGCCACTGCACCTGGCCTGATTTGTTTGTATTGCTCTAGATTTTCACACTAACAAGTCAACATGATGTGAAACCAAAGCCCCCAACCAGCCCTCAGTGGGAGTTTTGACTAGCACAGACCTCACAGTTTTGAAAGCAAATGCCTTCAGGTAGGGCATGAATGGGCCAGGTGCTCACAGTTCCTACTGGTCATGCCTGACCACTCCACACCTTTATCTTACCCACCTGGCCCTTGGAGCCTCCAAGTGTGCAGACCCCGCTTTAGCAGGGAAACGCCAGATCAGAAGATGGTTGTTTAAATGAATGGGTTCCATTTGGAGGAGCCAACTAAACCATAATAATAACAGCAGTAACTAGCAACTAATGAGTAGCTGCTATGCACTAGGCAGTGTGCACTAGACACCCTTTACACACATTTTCTCTCCTTTCATCCTTCCAAAACCCAGTGAGGTGGGGACCGTCATGATCTCCCCGCTCCAAATGAGAACGAGGTTAGGAGAGTTCAAGGGACCTGATCCTGGAGCAGAAGGGGACTGACTCCAGGGCCTCAGCCTGCTAGTTGATTCTTCGCTGTCACTCACTGTGGCATGAGCACCTCAGGGCCACATCAGGACTCCCACGAGCCCAAGGCACTTTTGCCTCCATGGACCCCTTCCTCCATAAAAACACATTACAACTACATTTTATAATGACATTGTATAAAGAGGATTTTTTTTCTTCTGATTTTGAAAGAAATTAAAACATTTTCATAGGCCCTTGAAAGTATTGAGGGCCCTAGGCTTTGACCCCGCTGTGCCTAATGGGTAAGTCAGCCCTGCATATGCTTCCTCCCAACACAAGGTCTTCCGGTTTAGACTTCTAATTAAAATCAAGTTACCGAGGTATGGCCTTTCAGGATGGAGGAATAAATTAAATGCAGAGACTCCTCTGAAGGAAACGGCACGTTGAAGACACTGAATAGTGAAATAAATCTCGGGTCAACTTCATTGCGGCCTCCTCCGGCTTTCCCCATTGCAGCGATAAAGCCAAGGTCTCGAATGCTTTTACAGTTCAGCTCCTTCCCACGGTCATATAAGTAGCCTTTTTCCAACAGCAGCTTCAGCAAGGCAATTGGCTGCTGCGTGCCGTATTCATCCACCTTGATTTTTATAAAAAAGAAAAGAGAATAGTAGTATCGCAAAGCGGGAGTCAGAGAGGCCTTGGCTGACCATCCTAACTCAAGCTCATTTCTCCCGTCACTCTCCAGGGCACCTTGGTTTCAGTTTCACAGGGCTTCTCAAAGGTTGCAACTGTATATATCCATTTGTGATTGTGTTTTTTGAAGTTTGTCTCCCTTACGATACTACAGCTTCATGAGGGCAGGAACTGCATAGGTGTTGACTACACAGCACCAGTCTCATAGGAAGGGCTGAATGAATATATGTTAATTCAATTAATGAACAGATGGATAGATGGATGGGTGGATGGATGGACAGACAGACAAATGGACAAATGGATGGATGGACAGATGGACAGACAAGAAGTCAACAGTGCAGTCCCACCCGGGGGTGTGATATGCCTGTCCACACATCGACACTTCTGCTTCTCTTGGTTTCACCTGTTTCAACTCAGGGGCTTACAAAGCATCAAGCCTTAAGCCAAGCATTTGTCCCTTTCTTCATTTAACATAAGCAAAGACATTGGGTAATTAATTCATACACTGATAATGACAGACAGATGGGCCCATCCATTGAATGGACGGATGGATGGACAGATGGACAGATGGATGGATGGATGGATGGATGGATGGGGATGGATGGATGGATGGATGGATGGATGGATGGATGGAGATGGATGGATGGATGGATGGATATGGATGGATGGATGGATGGATGGATGGATGGATGGACAGGTGAATGAACAGACGGGTAGATGGATAAATGGACAGCTAGAGGAAAAACAGACAGACAAGCAAAGAGAAGAATAGATGGATAGATTAATAAATATATGAGTGAATGGACAGATGGATGGTTGGATGGATGAACAGATAGGTAGGTAAATAACAGATAGGTGGATGAAAAAACAGACACATGGATGGATGAAGGGAAGAATAGACTGATAGATGAATGAACATATGGATGGATGGATGGATGGATGGATGGATGGATGGATGGATGGATGGATGGATTCTGGCTTTGCATACTGTCCTTCTGGAAATAGACTTTCAGAAAAAAAAATGGTTCTATGAAATAATGTAAATTTTAATTCTAATATGCTAAGAAAACTTTGTACTTCTCAGGCTGTGACCCCAGAAACATACTCATAAGGCAGCCAAAGTTTCTCTTCCTCAAAAAGTCCAGCGGAATTCTTGGGAAGTATCTGCCCTGATGCCTCCCATGTACACGGAGCCAACATCAGTATTATTAATTTAAAGAAGAGCTCCTTTAGAAACTACTTCCTCAAATACATACTGAATTTAGTTCAAAGGCTGCCAGCTACCTGCTTCCCTCCTCTAAGAAACTAGGGAACGTGATCAGTCAGGGCAAGGTCCCTCTGTGTAAGAACAGCATCCCAGGCACATTCTGCCCTAGGCTGGCTCCCTGCAGCCTGCGCCCTGCAGACATTGCACAGAGGTAAATATCAACGTTCTCATACTCACTTCTAACACACACACACCCATGCAAACACAAGCACTGTCTTGACCCATCCCTCCACCTGCTTGAGCGTCTAACTACCCTTGGCATATTCATGTCATCCATGAACACCAGCAGGCGTTTTCCCATGGGCGGGCCGTAAGTATCTTTGGTTCGCTTTTCCACATTTGCTTCTAAATTTCTTTGGATATCCATGGACGTGGTGCGGGAGGAGAAGTTGACCATTAACACAATCTGAAGCAGAAAGAGATGATGTGAAAAGCCATCCTTTTCTTCAGGGTACAGCAGTCAACATTTGCACACAAGTTAGCAACTATTTTGCAAATCCCTCTGAACTAACTTTTTAATAACCCAGTGTGAGTCTGTGCTTCATTATTTTCTAAGTGCTAAAGCAAGAGTTCCTCTTTCCTTTCAGCAGATTGTATGAGTCAATAGCGAATTGTCACATGTGAGCCTTGGGGACAATGTGACATAGAAGAAAGTAGACTGAGGGTCTTGTTTCTGCACAGTTCTAGCAAGGTGACTTCCAAAAAGTCATTCAACCTTTCAGAGCCTTGTTCTTCTCACTTGTAAGACGATTGTAATGACATCTTTTTGGACTACTTCATAGAGTAATTGCATCGTATGAGATGCAATATCCAACAGTATTTTCAATATGACAATATTCAAACATAAATCACTATCATGCTGGCTGTATCGAAACAGGTCAAAGAGAGCACGAACAAGTGGTTCAGGCTTTGGGACTAACTGCTGGTGGGAAGGGTGAGGGAAGCCCCCTGGATGCTCATGCATGTGTCCTCAGCCCTCCTGCCATGCTTAGGCTGGCGAGAGCCCCTTGAGTAGTGGTTCTCACACTTAACTAATTATGCATCAGCTCCACCTGCAGGGCATGTGCCACACACCTTGCTGGGCTCCATTTCCCAGAGTTTCCAATTTGGTAGATCAGGGTGCGTTTTGTTTTTTTTTATTTTTAGGAGATAGGGTCTTGCTCTGTTGCCCAGGCTGGAGTGCAGTGATGTGCGATCATAGCTCACTGCAGCTGTGAATTCACAGCCTCAGTGATCCTTCATCAGCCTCTTGAGTAGCTGGGACTACCAGGCACAAATCACCATGCCTGGCGGTCTGGGATCTTTTTTTTTTTTTTTTTTTTGAGACAGAATCTCGCTCTGTCACCCAGGCTGGAGTCCAGTGGTGCGATCTTGGCTCACTGCAAGCTCCGCCTCCCAGGAGAATGAGGCCATTCTCCTGCCTCAGCCTCCCGAGTAGCTGGGACTACAGGCGCCCGCCACCATGCCTGGCTAATTTTTTTGCATTTTTAGTAGAGACAGGGTTTCCACTGTGTTACCCAGGATGGTCTCGATCTCCTGCCCTCATGATCCACCTGCCTCAGCCTCCCAAAGTGCTGGGATTACAGGCGTGAGCCACCACGCCCGGCCTCTGGGATCTTTTAAACAAGTTTCCAGTGATGCTGAGGCAGCCAGTCTGGGGACCATACTTTGAGAACGAACCTCTGCCTTCCATAACCCTCTCCATGTAGGGCACCCAAAGTGCAGGTGCACACGAGCTGAACGTGTTGAAGCTGAATGTGTGCCCTGCTAAAGCGACTGCGTTCAGGTGCACCTGGCCGGGCTGATGAGCACCAGTTGCAGAGTCCTGGGGGAGGGGTGTTGTGACGGAGGCTCCCAAATGCGTCATCCTAGTGCCTGACTCCACAAACCCGTAGGTCCCCCTGGCTGTAAACCCCGCCATGCTCCCTGTGCACATCTCCATGTTTATCCTACCACTGCCTGCGAATCCCTACAGAACAGATCTTCACAGCTTGTTCACTTCACTTGTCCTGTGCACCCCGCAAACTCCATGCTGGGTACATATCCGACCTCCTACAAATTGGACATGTAACTGACTGGAGGAAGGAAAGGAAACACTTGAAAAGTTTTAGAAACCCAAAAATGATGGTGAATAATGTGACAGCCAGCCTCTAAGAGGGCCCCAGATTCTCCTCGCCTCCAGGTGTCCACGCCCTGGTGCAGGCCCCTCCCACACTGTATCAGGGTGTACAGGGTGGATTCTGTCTCCCCCATAGATTAGGGCAGAAGGGAAGGTATGTGACTTCCAAGGCCAGGTCATAAAAGACATCATAGCATCTGCTTTGCCACCTATCTTAAGCACTCACTCTGGAGGAAGCCAGCTACCATGTTGAGCACACCCAAGCCATCCGTGGAGAGGGCCCCAGGGTGAGGAATGGAGGCCTCCAGCCTTCAGCCATCTCAGATGAGGATCTCAGATGAGGATCCTCCAGCTCTAGCCAGGCCTCCAGATGTCTACAGCCCTGGCCAACAGCTTGACTGCAATCCCATGAGAGCCTGAGCTAGAAACCCTCAGGTAAGCCACTCCCACATACTTGACCCACGGAAACTGTGAGATCATAGTGTTTGTTGTATGAAGCTGCTATGCGCTGGAGTAATTTGTTACACAGCAATAGATAACTCATATGAATAATGACTTACGTTAGTTTCTTCACTCAGATTTTTGAGGAAATTCTGGGTAGTGGCTGTCTTAGAAGTGCCAGATTCACCAACAAAAATAACAGGTTGCTTAATTTTAACCATTTGTTCCAATATCCAGGTAGACCGAGTGGTATCCACTGTGTGAACTAAAATAGATATTAACAACAGGGGCATCTCAGTAGCTCCTGTAGGGTGAGCACTGGGGGCAACGTGGAATTGTCCTAGAACCCCACAGATCCCATAAAAAACAGCAGCAAAGGCCAAGACATGACCTCAGAAACAGTCACCCATTTAAGTGTATAATTTATTGACTTTGGCACAGTTCTACGGCCGTGCGATCCTCACCACAGTCCAGGTTTAGAACACCCAAGCTGTTTTTAAGATGCAATTCTGACTTATACTCAGGATATTAAACACTCAGCTTCTCTGTTGCTGACATCAGTCAGACCCCTGCGGGATTTAACTTCCTGACCAACACCTTCCTCTGAAGAGACAGTGAAACCACAGCATCACGTGCGGCTCCCTCCTGCACTGGCATATTTTCATCCTGATGGACTCCTGAGAAAACAGGGACGTCCCACTCTACAAGTTCAATGGACCAAAGTCAGACACATGCTTTGTGAAATTATTCAGCCCGTATTTTATCTAAATAGCCAGAGGGGTGCATTCTAAATGTGGCTCAGTATATAAACGCCCATGGCACACAGCTTTTCAAGTGAGCGCCCTTTATAAAACACTGCCTCATTCCTTGCCGTTTGGTCCCCACCCAGACAGCTCTGTGGACTGAAGATGAGCCTAGGGAAAGGCAAGGGGAGGCGAAACAGCATCTCATCCACCTGTGGGGATCGGCCTGCTGGGGAAAGAGCCACGGAAGATACTCAGAGCCAGCAGCTGACAAAAATACCAAAGGGGCCACCCTCTGTGCCCAGGAGGGCCCACGGCTCACCCTCTTCAATTCTTCTCTACCAGCTCTCTGCGTGGGACTTCGAGTACCAGAGAAGCCATGAGATCTTCTCTGCCTTCTCCTAGAGTGAGGATCACACACTCCTAAACCCAGAAATAAGGATTTGACTATGACTTACCCAGGATGTCGATAAATTTCCTCTCGGGGGCATGAATATACTCTGGAACTAATTTACTCCATGGGACCCACTGATTCCGTTTGTCATCAAAATGAAAGTCATACAAGGTTGGAAGTTGACCTGCAGGAAATAATGGTTGATTTCACTTCAATCATAAACATGGAAATGTAAAACCGGTTCTGGCACATGCTTGAAATGAACTAATGTTGCGTGTACCGCAAGGAGGCCATAGTGAGTACTTCAATGCTGCTCCTTTACTGGACAGATATCGAGTACCTTGAACTAACGCTACTCATCACTGGACACATACCAAGTATTTGGAGCTTATGTTTCTTGTTCACGGGACAGTCACTAATGTGACTTGTGTACTGGTCAGGCACTTTCTGAGTATTTTCAACTAATGCTTCCCATTCACTGGACATACACTTCCCTGCGAACACAATAGCGAAGCAGAGAGCCCTGGTCCCTACCCTTGCAGTTGTTGGAGGGCCAGGTGGGGGACAGATACAGGCAAGAAGTGGCCATTTCAGTATGGAGCCGTAAGTGCTGCAGCGGGAGACGTGCAGAAACAGCGGACAACACGGGAAGGCAGCAACCCAGGCGGGGCAGGGGAGAGATGGAAGCTGCGGGTGCCCAGGTAATCACCATTGCCTCCACCCAGGCCATGCGAGGCTTTACTTGAGCATGTCTAAGAGCTGACGGGATGGTAGAGAGGGGGAGACTGAAGATGAGAGAGACTCAGATGGAACGAGGAGCCTGAGAAGGAGGAAGGGGCTGGGTTGGCCTTGGCTGAGGTGGAGTGGGGGTGTCCTCTTCCACTGTAAAAGGAGAAAGCTGAAGACGGGAGCTGTGGGCTTTTCCGCTGGAAGGAGAGATTCCTATCAGACAGCTGCTGCTGTTCCTGTGGAAGCAGGAAGAAAGATCAGCTGCAGAGAGAGGCGAGGGGCAGGGTGGAGATGTGGGGGAAAGGCCCAACGCTCCTTTGGAGCCAGGAGTGAGGGTGCCAGCTGGGGACTGGGATGTATGGAGACATCTGTCTTTGTGGCTGCATGGTCTTCTCCCTGTCAGCCCCTAGAGAGGCCGAGAAGACAGACTTGGGGTTTTCTCAGAGGGATTCAACAGGACAATTAGGCAAGGCATTTGGGGTTCTCAGGCAAGAGTGACTGAAGTGAAGGCCACCAGCCAAGGAAGTGAGGATGCAGGGAAGGGGCAAGTATGGGCGCTTGAGGCGACAGCAGACACTGGGGCAACAGAGTGGCCATCCCCATGAGGCCAAACAGGAGCACAGTGGCCCGAGTCACAGAGGCAGAGTAGGCGGAGAGCAGGATTCGTGACACAGACATGACAGTGCCAGAGGTCACCGTCAAGGGTGTGCTCGAGGGCCTGGAGGGCTGGAGTTGTGAGCAGGTGTCAGGAAATGGGATGCCCACCGGGTCATTCAGGCCCCCAAGATGAGGGCAAATGAGGGAGGCAAGCCAGGGAAGCAGGCCAACATCGTCTCCGAGTAAGGGAATTGTAGGCGGCAGCAGTGCACAGCCAGCGTGGCCGGCGGAGCAGAAAAGCACTCCCTCAAGGGAGACTTCAGCTCTGGAAGACTGCACTCAGACTCCCGCCGAATAAAGCAGGGACTTGTAAAACATCTTTGATTTGCTCCATGACTCTCCATTAGAAAGACCAGAGGTCATTTCATTTTAAACTTTAAAAAGACCACCAGGTAAGGAGTATAAAATACAACTTCAAAAGCCATCTATATTTCAAGCCATGCTCAAATAGCAATAAGAGATGGACAAAGAAGAGTCCTAGCACTGCATGTAGACCTTGGAGAATGCATCTTTTTCATCATGGATGATTCACTGAAGATGCACAGTTTTGTGCAAAAACATAAAATGTTAATTTTATGATTTCCTATGAACGATTTACAAATCCACTCTTGATTGTCTACTGTGCAAATAGTCAGGAATACAGCAGATGAATTATACGGTGGAAATGGAGTGAGGTGGTTAAAAATAAAAATTAAAAAACAGATAGGGAAGCCCACAGGAGAAGAAACTCAAAGTCATGCAGAATGTGACAAGTTTAAAGAGCAAAGGAAGCAAGTGCCTACGCTGAGGCAAGAGAAGTTGACTGTCATCCAGAAAGACCATCCAGAGGGCTTGGGCTTCTACCACAGCAGTCGATGCATTTGAACTGCTTCTGGGGTCTCCGTCATGTGCTCTGACCATTGCATGTTTCTCTAAAGAAGCAAACAACCTGGAAAACTCAGACAGACAGAAATGTGGAAAAGCTTGTTCATTTCCTCTAGAAATTTAACCAAAGGCACTCAGAGCAGGGAAACAGGCGACACTCGGTTCCCACCTGGCAGTTCCCCAGGGTTGGCCCAAACTCCTTCTGTGTCAACAGTAGACAAAGAAGCAAGGCGTTTGATATATTCGTCAAATTTCGTCCTTCCATCCTCAAGCAGGGAGGCTCCCAGAGAGCAGTATAGAGCCTCCAGGAAGTAGCACTCCAGCAGGTCGAGGTCTTCTATTTCTCCTTCTAGTAATGCATCCAACATCTTGGCTAACTGGGTTACCTGGTTCACAGGAAAACATCTGGTTCAGCTCACATAGTCCACCCCCACAGAGTCCATTCCAGTCATAAATCCTGGGATCCCAGGTCCCAGAGCGATGGCAGCATATGACCCATCACGTTGGTTCCGACAGATGGAACCCAGTATCTTGACTTGCACAAAAGCAAGCATGGTGCCCTCCTTGGCACTAACCAACAATGCTACTGTTTACCCTGTCTGGCATCTTCACTCCCCTTAAAACCCTACTGTGAGCCTGTCTTTAGGAAAGAATTTCTTTTTGCTAACAGCAGGGATCGTTTCTTACCATATTGAGGTCTGTCTGAGGAACTATTGTCTTCAGCTTCTCTGTTTGTCTTCCATCCACTATCCCTTCCACTATCACATCCACGAGATAGGGCACATATTTCTCAAAGAGACTATTCAAATTGTATTGTTCCACCTGTAAAAAAGCAGCATTCCAAAGCATTTCAAGGATTTGTTTATTTAAATGGAAGTTAGTGGAAAGCTGTTCTTGCCCAAAGAGGATTGAGCAACATCTTCTGATGAATGATACATCTGGCAGGTGAGGAAACCCTGATAATAGTGCCCTATATTAGCAGAGAGATTTGTCCTTTACAATATGCTTTCATCTCATCATGAAGTGTTTCATTTCGCTGCCACAGGGTCTACCATGCCCTTGGGGAGGAAGAAGGGAAGATAACAGTTCCCATTTGACAGGAAAGAGGCTGATCATCTTAGAGTTCAAGTGACCACAGTCATCCAGCAAAGACTGTAAAGCAGTGAAGGCCCCCTTCCTATCAAGGCACCAATCACCACCAGGGATTGCACGGGTCCTGAGACAGCTGTCTCCCACAGGACAGTGCCTCAAATGGTTCTATCATGCTTCCTTTGTTCTGCTCTTCTCTGGCATAATTATGTCCTGGTTTCCATTCACCTCCAACCTAGTAGCCCTCCTAGAGACACACCCAGACAACCTGTGTTCCTTTGAGAAGGTGGTCATAGTGTCCTAGGTGTGGTTGAGCCACAACCCGAACATGACTGTCACATCCATCTCTGCACTTTTCACAGAAGCCTTTTGTTAAGACAACACACACTTCTGGCCTGTCATCTGTTTTGTAAATAAAGGTTTATTGGTACACAGCCATGCCCATTCGTGTACAAATTTCTGGCTGTTTTCATGCCACAACAGCAGAGTTGAGTAGTTGTGAAAGAAATCATATTGCCCACACAAAGTCTCAAATATTTACTATCTACCCCTTTACAGAAAAAGTTTGTCAACCTCTGGTCTAGACCAACCAATCCAATCATTACCTATCCCACTGGCTATAAATTATCTGAAATCAAATAAGTGTGTTTGCCATGGGCCGGGCACGGTGGCTCAAGCCTATAATCCCAGCACTTTGGGAGGCCGAGATGGGCAGATCACGAGGTCAGGAGATCGAGACTATCCTGGCTAACACGGTGAAACCCCGTCTCTACTAAAAAATACAAAAAACTAGCCGGGCGAGCTGGCCCATAGTCCCAGCTACGCGGGAGGCTGAGGCAGGAGAATGGCGTAAACCCGGGAGGTGGAGCTTGCAGTGAGCTGAGATCCAGCCACTGCACTCCAGCCTGGGCGACAGAGCGAGACTCCGTCTCAAAAAAAAAAAAAAAAAAAAAAAAAAAAAAAAAGTGTGTCTGCCATGTTTTCACTTAATTTGTGCTCAGGGACATAGGCAGGTCAAGGACAAGGTCATCACCTTCGACTACAAACATCCCTCTGGACTATGTTATCCAACTAGCCATCAATACTGATAACTTTAAGTTCATTTTAGAAAAAAACTTCACCTTGTTTGGTATTTGATTAACCCATTTTTCCCAGTAAGGTCTATATTTCAAGTTTTTAGGATCCACATAAACCATTCCACATCGAGAGACGGTTGCAGGGGAGGCATACTGTAAATCTCCAACCTGGAGAAATAAAGAAAATCAATCATGGCTACAGCTATACACAAGATAAACTAGATGTTTAAGGACCTTCTCTTATGGAAAGTTTTTACAACTGCATGAAATCCAAATCATATCAAAATGAACACAGCTTTCATGAGGTTTTTAACTGAACACCTGGGATTTTGATGAGAAGATTACACACTTCTGATGTAACATCTTTTTAGTTTTTCTATAATAAAATTAATGTGAAAATATGTTGTAGAATATCTGACAAAAAATAGAAAAGTATAAAGAAGAAAATAAGTTATCCAAATCCCACCACCTAGAAACAAATGTTGTTTTGAAGTGTTTTCCAGTCAATCTTTTTTCTTTATTATTTTTTTAAAATAGTTGAGATCAGGCAGTAAAAAACTTCATAAGTACACAGCTAAACCAGATATATTAACAAACCTAGCTCTCTCTACAAAAAAATATAGTTCAGTCAGCTAATCAGATAGTAATATGTACAAATATTCCATGTACCCACCAATTTTACAGTTAGAAATGGCATTAATACTAAGTTAGAGTGAAAGCAAGTCCCAGGGCCACACCTATGAAACAAGCAGTCCATATCCTAAGCAGGAGATAGAGGGCTTTGGAGAATAGTCTCCAGGAAATAAAGGGGCTCAACAGAATACTTGATATGATAGAAAGTTTAAAAAAAAATGAGGTTCAGGAGATCGAGACCATCCTGGCTAACACAGTGGAACCCCGTCTCTACTAAAAAATACAAAAAACTAGCCGGGCGAGGTGGTGGGCGCCTGTAGTCCCAGCTACTCGGGAGGCTGAGGCAGGAGAATGGCGTAAACCCAGGAGGCGGAGCTTGCAGTGAGCTGAGATCCGGCCACTGCACTCCAGCCTGGGCGACAGAGTAAGACTCCGTCTCAAAAAAATAAAAAAAAATTTAAAAAATAAAAAAATAAAAAAATGAGGTTAAGATAAAGGCAAATAGTGTGAGGAAAAAAAAAAAGGAAGGCAATTACAAACTCCAGACAAAGTAAATGGCTCTAAAAGAAAGTAAATGTAATCACAGTATATTAGTTGGTTCTTCAGTAAATATTTCTATCTTCATTATAATGTAAACATTATCTACTATTAACCAACTTAGCAATATACTATTCTGATGTTAGTGGTATAAGAGATGAATTCTCACTTTTGTAGCAGTCAGTCAATAGATAATGTATAAACTATAAAATGTATAAAGGAAGAATATCATGCTAAGCCTGTTACTTATAGACAGTAGGGTAATCATGAGAAGAAACAATTCATAAAAAGTAAAAGTAGTCACCTCTGGGATAAAGAGGGATGAGAGGAGTAAAGAACAAAGAGTTGTACTCATTATAAACCCTTATGTATTGTTTGTTTTTAAATAATCGTCTATATTTACTACTACTTTAATAAACATTTACATTTTTAATTACAAGAAAGACTTATGTTCAAATTTACTTTTAATCACTACTTGCCTCAAAGAGCAGGGCACAGTGTGCTTGGAGCCGGATGCGTTCCCCATTGGCCAATGTCAACAACTTGTTGTCATCCATCACAGAATTCATGTTTTCCACCCATAGAGCATCCACATCACCATCAAATAAAATATACCTGCAGTAACCAAAGAAAGGAGAGGTATGGGTCCTAGAGAGTTTCCAATTATGGAACTTGGTATAACCTGCCCATTCATGTTGAATGTCTTTTTCCCAGGGTTTTCTAACCAGGATCTGAGACAGAGCACCCTAGCTGGCCCACAGGTTTAACTGAATGGTACATAAAAAATTGTTTGAGCCTGTAATCCCAGCACTTTGGGAGGCCAAGGTAGGCGGATCACAAGGTCAGGAGTTCGAGACCAGTCTGGCCAACATAGTGAAACCCAATCTCTACTAAAAATAGAAAAAATTAGCCAGGCGTAGTGGTGTGTGCCTGTAATCCCAGCTACTCAGGAGGCTGAGGCAGGAGAATTGCATGAACCCAGGAGGCAGAGGTTGAAGTGAGCTGAGATAGCACTACTGCACTCCTGCCCAGGCAACAGTGCAAGACTCCGTCTCAAAAAAAAAAAGAAGTTTGAGTTAGTTGCCAATATTTAAGAATAAGGGAACTTCACACAAAAATCTGAATTTCTCACTTCTTGGGCAAACTGGAAGTTCTGAGCACACAGACCTGGATTCCTTCATGGGAACAATCTGCTGATGCTGAGGAGTGGCTGCCTATGGAGACAGAAAGTGTCATAGTCCCTGCCCCTGCCACAACGCCTACCTCATTCTCTTACACCTGAGGCTGAGTATCAATTGCTATTATCACTGGTTTTAACCCCTGGTTTCCTGCGGTACAGTCAAGAGTAAAGAAAGTATTTTGGATATCCATGTGTAGTGGGTCGAATGGTACCCACCCCCCACCAAAAGATGTGTTCACCCAGAAGCTGTGACTGGTGACCTTGTTTGGAGAAAGGCCTTTGCAGATGTAATTAAGGATCTCAAGATGCGATCATTCTGGCTTATACAGATGAGTACTAATCTAATGACAAATGCCCTTATAAGAGAAAAGCAGGAGGAGACATGAGACACGCAGAGGGGAAGGCCAAGACAGAGGCAAAGGTTGAAATGATGTGGCCACAAGCCAAGGAACACCTGGAACCACCAGAAGCAGAAGAGGCAAGGATTTGCCCTAGAGCCTTTGGAGGGAGTGCAGTCCTGCTCACACCTCTTTTTAGACTTTTGGCCTCCAGAATTGTGAGATAATAAATGTCTGTTGCTTTAAGCCACCCAGTTATTTGTTATGGCAGCCCTAGGAAGCTAACACCACCATGTAATTTGCTCCACTTCACTCATTTGTGCTACCTGCTGGGACCCTGGGAGAATCTGAGTTTACAAGCCCTAGTTTACACACCATGCGTGCTGGCAGCACGTCTACTTCCAAGGCCTCAGGTATTTAAGCTTCGGGATGGTTTCATTTTGTGACTATACTGGGTGACATCTCATGCAGCGAAGCCCATCTCCACAGGACAGACGCTATTCTACTGTGCTGAAATGGTGGCTTGATAGTGCCTCCATTTAACTCACTGATATAAGTAGTTGGATTTTTTTTTTCAGCGTTAACATTTTGGTTTATTTCCTTCCCATATCTTTTTTCTTTTTAGCTTTTTATTTTTAAATAATTTCAAACTTACAGAGTTACAAGAATAAAATAGTATGAAGAACTCCCACATGCCTTTCAGTCAGATTCCCCCACTGTTACGTTTTTTACCAGATTTGCGCGCTCTCTTACTCTGTCTCTCTCTAAATCATTTGAGAGTCAATTGCAGATAAAATGCCTCCCTTCCCCAAATACTTAAGCAAGTATTTCCTAAGAATAAGCACCTTCTTTTACACAACCACAGCAGAATTATCAAACTCAGGAAATTTAATATTGACACAATACTATTATCTAATATATAATCCACATTCAAATTTCACCAGTTGTCCCTATAGAAAATCTCCATTTATATTCATTATAAGAAGACTCAAAGGCCAGGCATGGTGGCTCACCCCTATAATCTCAGCACTGTAGGAGACTGAGGCAGGAGAATTCCTTGAGCCCAGGAGTTCAAGACAAGCCTGGCCAGTACAGGGAGACTCTGTCTCTACAAAAAAAGCAGAAATTAGCTGGGCGTGGTGACATGCACCTGTAGTCCCAGTCACTTGGAAGGCTAAGGTGGGAGGATTGCTTGAGCCTGGGAGTTCGAGGCTGCAGTAAGCAGTGATCATGTCACTGCACTTAGCCTGGGCAACAGAGCATGACCCCGAAGAAGAATAAGAAGAAGGAGAAGGAGAAGGAGGAGAAGGAGGAGGAGGAGAAGAAGAAGAAGGAGGAGGAGGAGGAGGAGAAGGAGGAGGAGGAGAAAGGAGCAGGAGGAGGAGGGAGGAGGAAGGAGGAGAAGGAGGAGGAGGAGGAAGGAGGAGGAAGAAGGAGGAAGAAGAAAGAAGAAGACAGAGGAGGAGGAGGAGGACAATGATGACAACGATGACGACTAGATTCAAGCAACCATCAACAGATGCTCAAACCATTGGGTGAATGGGTGAAGGTTGGATGAGAAATGGGATATTTACTTAGTCATAAGATATCTCCCTACATTTGCATATCAACTGCGAAGAGGAAAATGGCACCTTAACCCAATAATCAAGATTAACACCACCCATAATAGGGCAACCAA